ATTCAGAAATATATACAGATGTGCTTTTATCTAATTGCTATAAAATGAAATTTTGTTGCATTAGAAAAACTCAAAATGATTGAGAAAAAATCAAAACTAATAGATGAAAAAGGAACAAAAAGAAAAAAATAATAATAATAATAATAATGTTGGATGAGGGCTGATTCTAAATTATTCTAATGTCCTGAATGCTTGGATAAAGTTTTCTATAAATGGTTGGAGTAGAAAATAGTTCGTGTTGTGTTCTCGACAACGTTTTCTTATGCTCAGAATGATTTGGAAATTGCATTCTGTTTTCTTTCACATGCTTAACGCACTATGAGGAGAAACTACTCATGGAGAAATAGGGCAGTATGAAGGAATAATGAATAGCTTGATACCATTCAATTCTTTTGCTGGCTCTTTTGTTTCTCAGATACTCTCTTTTATGCTGTGATGCATATTGTTTTTTCTTTTGTTGTTGGTTCAGACTTACAATGACTTATATGGTACATTTTGATAGCCCAAAAATAGCTAAGCAAGAGGGGGTTGAATTGGTTTTTAAAACTTTTTCAAATATTTAATCTATAACCAAGCACGTAATAACAAAATAGATTAATTCATATAATAAGCACGGATATGAAAGCAAGAAGTAAAGATGGATAGAGAGTGTAACGGTATAATTATGAAGGTTCGATCCAACGCAATGATCTAAGTCATCCGTTATCAAGCTGTCCAACACGTGCAATGCCAATTTCACTATATCAATTGACTTGTGATGCAATCCAACCCTTTACAAAGCTTCCGGTGACTTACAAACAAGGAATACCGATCCTGATACAATATTGAACTTTACGGGACCTCAATACGACCCACAAATTTAAAGAGAATTGATTTTACAAATTGAGACTTATATCTTAATAAATGATATGATTGCAATTAAGTACAAAGAGAGAATTATGCTAACAATTTAATAAATAGCAATGAGTGAAGCTTAAGTGTTAGGTATGAAAAACTTTGATGTGTTGAATGATTTTCAAAAGTTAATTTGATCAAAATTTTTCAAAGCTAAATTGATTTAATAATAATTGAGATGAGAAATCAATATAATTTTTTGCTCAAAATTATTCACTCGAATGCTCTTGATGTGCGTCATTGAATGTAAGTGATGTGGTATTTATAACAGTCAAAACGTAAAAAGTTATGGCCAATGAGAAGACCCCCATCGGA